AGCAGCTTTACAGAAAATAATTCATCCATTCATTCGACTTCAGCTTATTTATTAGGGGTCTCCACAGCAAATGAACCGCCACAGAAAATATTAACACACAGATATAAACATTGGTAAGAAAAATTACAAATAAAAGAAAAATAAATGAATGAAATTACAAACAATGCAACTTGGAAACACTGCAAATGATGAAAGAAGAGTTCAACATGTCTAAATCAAAAAACAAGTTTGGAGCGCATGTTTGATGCATTTGAATTAAAATGCACACCTATAAATTTAATACTTCTTTACTAAAAGGAAATGGGCCTATACACCGTTTATTGCAATAAGTATATTACAAGAAGTTATATCATTAAATATTCATGTAAAAAAGGGTTTTATTTTACCTAATAATTCCAGCCAGCTTTAAATAACTTTTGCAATATTGTCAAAAACACAGAACTTTCAGTAGTTATATGTAAAAAGGCCTAAAAATATATTCAAATATATTGCTTGTCTCCAACTATTGACAGCAGATCACTCAATGAGAGAGAGAGAGAAGGATTTGCACTTGCCATATCTTTACTGCTCTATTCATTTAACCTAACAAATGTAATGTTAAGACCATCACTGTGGCTCTTGCGATGTGTTCTCTTTTCCATTTCTCATGGCGTCGCCAAGATTTCAGAGTATTTTAATCCATTTTTGGGGATCACGGAGGTGGTGTAAATTTGCGGGAGACTTACGGAGCTTCCGGGAGAGGTCTTTAGATTAACGAGACACTAGATAGCAGCAATCACTCTGCTCACGTCACAGCAGCTTAAAACACTGGAAATACAATGGCTGTACTTGCAACAAAGAGCATCACTCATGCAAGTTGCACCAATAAACACGCATAATATACAGAAGCACGTGCATCTTCGGCCTTGTCAGGTGTAGCGCGCACACTCTCATTCCATACAGCAGAGAATGGCTGCGTGAACTCCACCGTGCGCGATTTAGAGAGCAGAAATTGGTAATCGCTCGACCAATTAAAGACAGAAATTTCATGCTGTTGTGTAAATAAAATATTACAAGTTTAGCTTTTTAGCTTGTTTATTAAAATAAGTTGTGATCTGGTGCAATATAGAAAACAACATTAACTTGACTTCAAGGGGGCGGGGAAAGCCGTTGGGAGGGCCCCCCTAAATTAATGGTAAGGGAAACACTGCTTATATTTTCGTATGGTCGTGAAGAAGCCGCCAGCACTGAGAAGAAGGAAGCGAATATGTATATGTATGTACACACACACACACACACACACACACAACAAGCCCTTATCATGGCTAAAGGAAAATTATGTCACTTAGTGACTATAGAGCGGATCATTATTTCTGAATAATTCATCCTTGAGTGGGTTAATGAATAACTGAGAATGTGTACTGTACCTTCCAATGTCTCTGGCAGTTTGTTCAGTAGGACAGTTGACAAGCAACAGTGAGTGATATCCTGACACATATTTTCCTGTGAAGGCAGAGTAAATTTGAACCCCTAGTGTCCTCAGAACAGGGTATAGGGCGAGAGTCACTACTAGAAGCTACAGAAATAAAAGAGAGAGGAGAAAGAGAATACAGTTATGAATTATGTAATCTAATATCATAACATTTCTAGAATGTATGAAAACAATGCATTTTTCCAGTTATCTTTCAAGTCAATATGAATAAAACCTGAAATAATACAAGCTCTCCCTTAAGGGTCAACTGTTGAGTGAATTTATGTGTGTGTGTGTGTGTGTGTGTGTGTGTGTGTGTGTGTGTGTGTGTGTGTGTGTGTGTGTGTGTGTGTGTGTGTGTGTGTGTGTGTGTATCTGTAAAGTTGGCTTTAAAAATCAAATACATGTCCTTTTCTTATTTCTTAATTCATTCATTTGTTCGTTCATCTTCTTTTGGCTTGGTCCCTTTATTAATCTGGGGTCGCTACAGCAGAATGAACAGCAAACTTATCCAGCATATGTTTTACACAGCGGATGGCCTTCCAGCTGCAACCCACCACTGGGAAACATCCATACGCACTCATTCACACACATACACTATGGACAACTTTAGCTTACCCAATTCACCTATACCACACATCTTTGGACTTGTAAAGGAAACCCACGCAAACACGGGGAGAACATGCAAACTCCATACTGAAACACCAACTGACCCAGCCAAGGCTTGAAGCATTGACCATCTTGCTGTGAGGCAATTGTGCTACCCACTGCACCACTGTGCTGCCCCATTTTTTAATTAGATCAGAATCAAATGAATTGATAAATGAATAATGTAAAAATTAATAATGTTACATTTACACAACAGTCATTTACTAAATAATGTACTTGTAATATCTTTGTTTAGAGAAACAACCTGTAAAAGTGCTTGTAATCTTAACGGGTTCACACAAACTTATTCAGAAAGCATGCTTTAAATAAAATGTGTTTCTTTTCTGTCTATGATTAAACTAATGTGTGAAATTCTTGGTTAAATTAGAGACAGATTTCAGAAAAATGTCAAACCACTAAAGAAAAAACTGCAGACAGGAAATGTAAAATTAAAAAAAAAACTTATGCACTTGCATGCAATTTTAAAATTGATTTTATGATCAGAGAACAAATGGTGATATTTGGAGAAATACAACACTAGAGATTAGTAACTTTCATCATATTTGTTATACACAATCATACTTTTATATTTTACTTTGTAGTCTAGAAGAATACCATAAAAACATAATTGGGCAGTTTTTAAATTAATTAAAATATGCATTTAATTACTTGGCATTTAATTATTTGTAATTTGCTGGACCAAAGAATATCAGATGTGATTTGTCATTAAATACTTTGAGACTGTATGTTGTTGCTAAAATGCTTAATCAAATGTGCCAAATAATTTACCCCCAGTTAATATGACTAACAAATACAGAGTTTAGCTACGGTAAATGCAAATAAATTACATGACACATCCTCTAGGACCCAGGTTATTATTATTATGACGATTATTATTATTATTATTATTATTAAGCACAGTAAGCAGAAAGAAATATGTAATAATCAAGATTCAAAATACAATGCCTTCAAATGCAATTCAGTTAAAATATCTAATGTTTTGAAACAATAATTTGTGTTAATGCATCACTACATACAGGCTTGAAACAACATGGGGGTCAGAAAATGATGACAGGCCTTTCTATTTTAGTTAGAGTTAAAATAACATTTTTATGATTGGCATGATTCACAAATAATACAAGAATTATTAAAATGCAGCACACAATGATATACATGTAGACAAACTCAATGACTGGTTACATTTTTACTTTACATTATTAATTACGGTTGCATTATTAATTTCCGATGGGCGGCACGGTGGCTCAGTGGTAACCACTGTTGCCTCACAGCAAGGTCACTGGTTCGAGTCCTGGCTGGGCCAGTTGGCATTTCTGTGTGGAGTTGCATGTACTCTCAGTGTTTGCATGGATTTCCTCTGGGTGCTCCAGTTTCCGCTTAATTCAATGACATGTGCTGTAGGTGAATTAGGTAAACAAAATGGGCTGTAGTGTATGAGTGCATGTATAAATGCGAGAGTGTATGGGTGTTTTTCAGTATTGGGATTGCAGCTGAAAGGGCATCCGCTGCACAAAACATATGCCAAGTAGTTGGCTAATCATTTCACTGTGGTGACTCCTAATAAATAAGGGACTAGGGCAAAGGAAAATACGAACTCTACAGTTGGTTTAGTCTATACAGTATATGTTAGCCAAATTTAATTTGAATCCGCCCAGTTGCGAATATCTTCCCCAATTTATATAAAAATAAACTGATTTAACTGTTAGCTTACTCCTGTTAAACAAATATTTAAATAAAGTGAATCTTTCTTTTTTAGGCATATTGACCCGAGTAAGAAAACCATATGAATGTACACAAAAACAGCATAAACAAAAGGGACTTTGCAAGTATGGGAACAATCCCCAACTTCAACCATTAATGTGAGGATCGCAAAGCACTCATCAGCTGATCTTGAGGAATTACTGCTGAATGCACAACCACAGAGCCACACAAGGAATTAAACATACATTATTGTGTTCGATAGGAAAAGAACAGTGAGGGATTATCCTACGATGACCTGATAAGATTATATTTGCCACAAGAATGCAGTCAGTGCTTGCTCAGCTCTTGAGAAAGAACCCTTGCTATTTAGTTGAGAAATTTATATTACTGCACTCTTGAGGAAAAATAGTTTTACCACAAATTTACACAACAGCATGGTTTTATTGTAGTTTAATCATCATTAACAATTTTACACAAAATAATACATATTCAATGTATCAGAAAACGTAATTACTATGCTTTTACAATTAAATAACCATTGTTAATTTATGTAAGGGGCTATATTTTTGGTACTACTATAGTTTTTAATTAAAAAGTATATTAAAAGTGCATTAAAAGTATATTAATTAAAATTTATTTTACAAATAAACGCTGGAAAGAAAACAGAAACCATCACAGAATTTTCATTTGAATGCATACATTACAAACTGTATTGATTTTAATACAAACAGTAATGGTTGTTTGGGTCTCTACTAGTAATTTTTTTTAGATTCCTATTGGTTCCTGATTGAGAATGTCCCAAAACGCATTAGAAACCATTAAAGGGTAAGTTTTGATGGTTAAAGTGTAACGTTTTATAGTGTTTTAATGTTGTTTGTGGAGTTACATCGCTAGAACTCTTTCAATAGGGAATGGTGGGCTGAGACGCAACACAAACAGTACAATCCCAGACTTAATTCTTTTCAGAAATTCTCCAAAGTTCCTGGTTTCTTAATAGCTTGCTAATGATTAACTCGCAGGCTATTTTGGTGCTCAAAAGCAGTTCTTCAAGTTTACGGTTTTTAAAGGCAAAGTAACGTGAATCACGTTTAAGCATGTCTGCGGCGTTCAACTTGCCAAACACGTGCAGCTCAAGTCCCTCAGTATAAATGTCACGTATCTAGAGGAATAAAACTGGATTTACCACGCAGAAGACCACAAATCCTGATCGAGGGACAGCAGAAGACATGATGTCCTTGGGATTCCGCTGATAAAAGTAATCCGGTTTGTTGTCTTGCATAATTATTTCACGGCACTAAAAGTTACATTGCGGGTGAAGTCTAGTGCGCAACTTTTGGTTCAGCTCGCCAGGTGTTCGCCGCCCGACAGGTTCATCTCACTGACTAACCCATCAGAGTCAGCGTCTGACAGTTTGGACAGTCTGCTCTTGTCCCAAAGCTGCAGCGTGTGGCGCTTGATGCTGATTGACTGACGCTCATATCCGGATACGGGAGCCTCCAATCACGAGCGGTGCGCGAGTCTCATCATAAGAGGATTGGAAACCTAATAAACTTAAGTGCTGCTTCTGACTCTTTGCACTGCAGTTTGTTATGGACTACAGCCGCACGAATGCTTTATTTCAGCCTTTTAGAGGTTAAATGTTCTGGTAAATGGCTAACGTGGGAGTAAATAGTCTCTCCTCCTCCTATTTGTAGTTCGATAAACTTGGTAAGCTGAAACATTCAGACCCACCCACGGTAATATAAATATAGCTATGAAGATACCGTAGTTATTAAAGGGCGATTGAGAGGCAATTTGACAACTAACGTAATACACATAAGCGTTATTCATTCATAACAGCGAGTGATCGGTCGCCGTATACATCATGTGGAAAGAAAAAGATAAAGTAATTAATTTTAGTGGTTTGAAAACGGGTATCGTGCTGTGAGTCTCCTTCAGGAAACACTTGAAGTCTAGAGGTCTAAAAAAAGACTTCCACTAGAGGTCGCTGCTATTTCTCGAGAGAATAGCTGCGTCCCAAATGGCACACTATACACTATGCACTCATGCACTATGTACTTATGCACTTACACACTCAACAGGATAGTACATGTATATAGTGGCGTCCCAAATGGCACACTAATGTTTTTTTACTAAGCGGAAATTCAAACCGTTTCCCTGATGACGTTTGACATTTGCCAAATCAGTGAAATAAACGACCGAATTATCAAATATAACCTGCCGTGAGTGTTGCCGAATTCACCATCGGGAGGCACTATAATCACTCTCGTAGAAGAATTTTGTTCTCACCATCCAAAATAAATAAAGTTATTCAACATGTGCGTCCGATAGCTCCGCCTCTTCCGCTACGTAAGCAAACCTGCGGTCGTTGAGTGCGTGAAGGGTCCATCATTCCACACTTCATTTTAGCGGCTGAATGAGTGCATCATCCGGGAAATTAAAGTGCACTTATTATTTTTATAGTTTTCAGTGTGAACACACTACTTACACTATTTATACTACAAAATGGCGTAGAATAGTGCATAAGTATGCGATTTGGGACGCAGCTAATATTTTTAGTCCAGTCCAAATGTAAAAGGAGTCATCATTCGCCGTCACGTTTTCCAAAAATAAGATTTTCTCTAGGCTACTCTTGAAAACAAACATGAAGATGTTTCATTCAAAGTCAAGGCCTTGAATGGTCTAGCAAAGGGGTGCCCACACTTTTCCATATGGAGGGCTTGGTTGAGAGCTGTGGTCTGAAAGTAAATAAAGCAACCTGTATTACATTGAAGTTGTCATGGGTAATTTCCTAATTTATTTCATATCCATTACTAAAAAGAAAAAGATATTTAAAATCATATCTAATATTGCATTCTAAATAAAAAAAGTGTATACTATTTTAACAAACTTATTAAAATAAAATCTTTAAAAAACATTTAAAAAATCCAACCAATGGAGTTCAATGCTGAATAGACTAGTCATGCTGAACCTGCCTTTGTCTTGATTTGCATGCTGTTGTCTTCTGCTTTGTCCCCTATTCGTTAAGTATCAGTATGTACATTAAAAAAAAAAAAAGATTTATTTACAACGTTTAATTTCAGTTTACTTTTTTTTGTAGCTGAAAAAAACCTAATAAAAGGTTACATAGAAATGAGAATCTGTAAAGTCATTCCCCAACCCATCCCAATCATTTTCCCTCTGGCAGGCCAAATCAAAGGATTTAAAATGCCAACTTTGGCCCACGGGCCCTAATTTGGGTGTCTCTGGCCCAGCACCACAATATTTATCTGAGCTTTTAATCCTATACACTCCTACGTGCTTGTCTGATGCTGACCTTTTAACTGCTCAGTCAACGCAGCTAAAGTCTATGGGAGACTGGTCATTCCCTTTATTGGCACCTAATTGTGGAACATTTTACCTTCTGATATTCGCAATGCAGAATCCCTGAGTATTTTTAAATCATCAAAACTTTTTAGGATAGCTTTTATTTGATTTTATTGGACTTTTATATATATTTTTTGATCTAATATTATTATTTTATGTGCTTTTAAATATTTTTTTATTATTACTTTTTTTTTGCATTCATCCATGTGTCTTTTACTGCTGCACATTTTTTGTCTGTAAAGTGCCTTGAGATGTTTCTTTTAAAGGCCCTATATAAAAATAAAGCTTATTATGTTATTAATAATTAAGTTATTAATTTTCCTTTCGGCCCAGTCCCTTTATTAATCTGGGGTCGCCACAGCAGAATGAACAGCCTATTATTATTATTATTATTATTATTATTATTATTATTATTATTATTATTATAAATTAATAAATATTACTTTCGGCGTAGTCCCTTTATTAATTATTTTGTCCGGCAACAAGTTTTCCCCACTAGAGTTAATTTGACCTCACCACTTAAAACATATATACACTTGTTTATTTGTGTATCAAGTAAAATTTAAATTTCTCATTAAATAAGCCATGTTTATGTAGATGTTAAAGATTGAATGGAGTCAAATTGACCCCTTAATAATAGAGTTAATTATTATATAACACATTAATACATAAAATAAGTAAAAATAACATGCACTGAGATGTGTTAGATTAACAAGGCCATAGCAATTACATGTAAAATGAACCTACAATCAAATAATTTCAGAGAGAGAGAGAGAGAGAGAGAGAGAGAGAGAGAGAGAGAGAGAGAGAGAGAGAGAGAGAGAGAGTTAAATATAATTGTTTAAAATGCACATACTTTGTGCATCAGACTGAAACATGGAAAATATTTGATGCCTACGCATCTATTATTGGAATTTGTTTTCAACAGGTTCTTGCACACCACTAAAACCGCTGACCCAGATATCATTCATTGGACTCCCTCCACCTTTACAGCAACTACAGCAGGTTTGCAGCCACATATTTATACAACAAATCACATAACACATTGTGTGTGTGTCGCAGAAAATAAATGCAAATTTAATACAACTTCAGTTGTTATGAATTAAACTAGAAAACTGTGTAATTAGGAATAAATCTAAAGTTACAGATCACTTTTATATTTAAGGACACTTTTATAGTTATATTATAGTTATCAAAACCTTTTTATTCAATAGCAAACACCCTTATAGTGTAATTAAGAATATATCTAAAGTCTACAGTTTCATCAGTGCAGACTATTGATAACAATAAAATACATTTTTCCAACATGAACATTTTGCCCAATAAATTTGTTTGTGTGTCAGAAAATGTAAATTTGATCTAACTAGCAAACATCTTCAGTGTAAGGATGCATCTAATGTGCACAGTTTTCATCAGTGCAGACAATTTATCAAAATAAATAATTAAAGATAAATAACATTTTTAAATTAAAAAAATAACTGTTTTTTTCACTTCCAAAACATTTTCCTCCCATGAATTTATTTGTGCATGAAAGATAAATGTAATTTTAAATAAGTTAATGGTTAAACTATCAAGCAGTCCCAGTGCACCTGAGAATAAATGTAAAGTTTTATCTTTGCGTAACAAGAGGCGGAATCACACTGACAGTTAGACTCTAAAGAGCCACAAGCACCACCAGTCATTCTGATGTGGTCAACATGAAGCTTTCTATTGCCACTCTCAGTAAGTGATGCCTCTTCATATTTCATCTTTAACTATGCATATCTAATGTAGATATGTAGATTTTGTTCAGTGCAGTCTGTACTGTGTGATGTGTTTTTCTTTAAGCATGTGTGTGTTTGATTTTTTTCCCTTTGTTTGTCCTATCATTTCTGTGTGGATGTAGTTGCACTGAGTTGCATTTACTGGACGGTCTGTGGAAAACTGGTGGAGCTGGTGGTCAAACCTGGAGATAATGCGACTCTACACTGTGACCGTGAGAACTTTGGACAGGACATTCAGTGGGTCAAGATCTGCTCTTTTCAAATCCAGCCAATTCTGGTCGTCTCTGCATACAAGAGCCTGACAGAACCCGTCCCACGGTTCCATGTGTTATCTGACAATAGGCCTACTTCCAAATCCTATGATTTATTGATCGAGAACATCACTGAAGCAGACCTGTGTCTGTATTATTGTTCAAGTGAGGGAGAAAAGATTACCGACGAGAATGGAAAAATCACAGAGAGGAAGGTTTACCACAATGGTGATACGTTCACAAAGCTCACATTCACTACGCCTGGTAAGCTTGTTTCATACAGCAAATGGTAGAAATTAGGAAGCTAAATAATGTACTTAAAATAAAATTTATTTAAATAAATTTTGGGCGACAATGTGGCACAATGGGTAGCATGATCAAATCGCAACAAGAAGGTCACTGGTTTGAGCCCCAGCTGGGTCAGTTGGCATTCCTGTGTGGAGTTTGATGTTCTCCCTGTGTTTGCGTGGTTTTCCTCCATGTGCTATGGTTTACAGACATGCGGTATAGATGAATTGAATAAGCTAAATTGTCAGTAGCGTACAGTATGTGTGTAAATGAATGTTTCTTAGTGCTGGGTTGCAGCATAAAAGGGCATCCACTGTGTAAAACATATGCTGGATAAGTTGGCGGTTCATTCTGCTGTGGCGAAATGAAAGAGACTAAGCCAAAGAAAAATGAATGAATAATTAAATGTTGTTAACTGAAACAAAACATCACAACATCATTATAACTCAGTGTACAGAAGTAAATATGAATGAATGAAAACAATATAAACAAATAATAATAATAATAATAATAATAATAATAATAATTATAAAGACACACACAAAAAAGAAAACTACATTAAATATCATTCAAACTATAACTATAAATGTGGTGGGACATAGTGGGGAGAAAAAAGGAGTTGGAAAAAAATAAATAAATAAAGTGAACAAAAAATTTTTGTGGAACACAACAGTTTTGCAAGGTAACACAAAAGTATTATGAGTGAACACAAAACATCTTCGCGAGGGACTGAAAATGTATTCCGAGGGAATACAAAATTTAGCAAGAGAATGCAAAAACTTTATATATATTTTTTTTTTTTTTTTTTTCTCCCAACCATTATTCCCACTACCACATCCATTGATGAAGGGTTGAAGTCATGACGGTGCTTTTTTAAATTCTACATTTTTAGCACCATTATTG